AGAGCGTAGAGATACACTTTGTTCATGCTGATTGCGTCTGGTAGAACGCGCTGGTGCCATGGGTCTCAGCCAGGACTTGATGTAATGATAGAAGTGGTGGTTGGGGTCAAGGTTTGAGTTTCTGAGGCGGAGTGGCAGGAGGCTACCGGCCGGCGGAGATCAAAATGCACCGGATCCCACCGGTCCAGTCGCATTAAGCGCTTGACTTTATCTTATCTAGTGCGCCTCGGCGTTCAGCCAGGCTGAGCAAGCAACGTTAACAACGTTCTGAACCATTCATGGCACCTCTGGAATACCTTTCTCAGACGCAGATTGACAAGGTTGGTCCTAGTTCGATCCGTGCTCCTCAATATTCTGTCACACCTAACTTCTGATATGATGTCGGTCAGTTCTATAGGGATGGGTAGGTTAGATATCTAGGAAACCCGCTACTCTCGGTGACCGGCGTGCATAGGTATTTGATCGTCCCTGGATTTCTCTCGCACGACCAGACGAGTTCTCTTTTGTTGCGGGCCAAAGAGCTCCTTGATGATTTCACACCAGAGGACCATCCCCTGGTAAGTGCACCATTTAAATCGCAGACATTCAGAATTCTAAACACGTAGCAGACCAAATTCACAACGTCGGATGAGGACCACATCGGTGACAACTACTTTCTGAATTCAGGCGACAAGATTCGCTATTTCCTTGACGAAGATGCTGTCGACAGTAGTGGGAAACTTACCAGGGATAAGTCAAGGGCAGTAAATAAGATCGGTCATGGTTCGTTGCCCATCCACACAAATCTTCACATTTATCTTACTTAAGTTAGCTCTTCATGAACTGGACCCCGTGTTCCGGAACGTTACTCTGGAAAATGATCGACTGAAGGCTCTAGTGCGCGACCTGCGATTCCACCATGATCCAGTTGGTAAAGATCATGTTTAGTAATCACACACATGTTGGAGACTGATATAGACTTCCTAGCATTGCAATCAATGGTTATATTCAAACAGTCACAGACCGGTGGCGCAGGTGAGCAACTGACATCAGGCGGTAATGTCATTTCAAGTAGCTAACACACCAACCTTGGAGTGCCCGAACATAACGACTCGTAAGTGCAAAGTCACCGATGTTGAATCCAAGTCTAAAATTTGACATTTGACAATTCAGCACGTTTCTCGTCAGTGTCAATCTCTCCCCCCGTTTACATCCTATCTTCATACACATCATGTATAGTACACGTCACCCCCAAGTGCTCTTGGGTTTTGGATAGCTCTTGAGAAGTGCACATCCACGAACGGCGCACTATCGTTCTTGCCAGGATCCCATCTAACAACTCCGATAACGAAGAGATTTGTACGTTTACCAGGGGGTGGTACCGGTTTCGAGCAGCTTGTCACCCCTCCGCCTCCTTCGTCCGACATAAACGAGAATCCGAGGGAGAATGCGTCAGAAGGTGTATCAGAAGGGAACTATATGCTGGAAGCTTGCGAGCCAGGTAGATGGTTACGTGTGCGCTAGATGTCCATCACTGAACATCAGATGCTAGGTGATCTCGTCCTCATCCACGGCAGTGTCCTTCACAAGTCGGAGCGTAATACTAGTGCTCACACAAGATTTGCATATACTTTCCACATGATTGACTCGTCCCCTCACACCGAATACGACGAGAAGAACTGGCTTCAGCCTACTGATGCCATGCCCTTCTCCAGAATCTTGGACGTACCAAATGAAATTACTCTTTCCATCCCTGTACATTAGCCAGATCCATTTAGATGATTTTTGTGCATGAGAAATTCAGTCGCTAATATGTTATTCGCACTGCCCAAATATTTATCCACACGCCAAGCTGTAAGAACAAGTTACAATACTTGAACTTTTGCCCTAGACAGCAGAGTTTCGGGCTTCAAATTGTACAACTCATCTATGAGGGCTGGGAGGAATGTTCCAGATCCATGAACGTCGCTTCTTTCTGCTGCGCACTCAGCTGCCACCGTTAGAGCCAAGACACTACCATCATTAGTCAGTCTTTGTTATACGAATTTTTTTGATCGGATTTTGACTTACCCACCAACAGCGCCCATCAGCATGTTTCCCCTGACGAGCTTCGCGAGCTCAGGCCCAGAGCTTGTTCCAGGGGCAGCGGCCAGAAATGAGGCACCAGCACAAAACGTAGCAACGCAGGTGCCAACAAGGCATCCAGATCCTGTAATGTCACCGAGGATTTTGTGGCCGTTTTCCAACTTCACCACAATGGCACCATCAGACACCCAGTCTGTCGGTCCTGTCATGACAGCGACGCAACCTTACGGCGTATGTATTTAAGGCGTATATACTCGCGATGTCCACGGCAAACTTACGTTCTTTCTTGGCTATCTCGCGAATAAAAGATGCCGGATCTGCGAACCCAGGGCCGACACTATCAACCCCTTTAGCCTGCACCTGGAGATAAATAATGTAAATTTGCAAGTTCCACACGGAAGTAGGATGTGTGTCACAGACTTCATTCGAGTTAGCGAGAGAAGCCATCTCGCTAGCGTTTCCTTTTATAACGCTAGCCTGCCATGCATTCAGGAGTTCTGAAGCGGTCGTCTTCCTGAACTGCGTAGCGCCTACTCCAACCGGATCAAAGATTATGGGTTTTTGTGCTTCGTTTGCGTATTGCCCTGCAAGAATCATGCTACCTTTGTCCGTGATGGTGCCAAAGTTTATGAGTAAACCACCCGGAATGCGACTAAGATCATGCATCTCTTCAGGCGCAGTAGCCATAATCGGACTTGCACCTAAGGCCAAGGTAGCATTCGCGGATTGGTTCGTGACCACAACATTTGTGATCTGTGGGACAGTCAGTGGACGGGCAACGGAATCACGCGTGAGAGCATCTACTTGATGAATGAGTGGACTCTTGTCTCGTATCACCTGCATAAGTTCGACAACACCGTTCTTGATGGTCTCCACATCGTACACTTGCAGCACTCGACTCTGCACATCGAAATGGTGGACCCACGCATCGAGGCTATCCCTTAACTTCCGGGAAGCGGAACGGGGTGCTGAGGATGCCACAATGTCCGAGACCACAGCAATACCATCCAATCTGTGTCCAGAGGTTGACACAGATCCATGTAAGGTTCTCAGGACGTTGGTGGAATTTATCCCCCCTGGGGAACAGGTCTTTAGACATTACAAAAGACGTAACGTATGCATTTCTGCATACCAATTGCAACGGCTTTGATGTTTGTGCCATCCAGAGCCTGGAGCAGTGAGCCAACCCCTCTGACGCCAATGACTGGGCTGGTCAGCTCCTTAGTTGTCGTACCCCAGACGGCACCGATGCCAATATAATCAACTTTGTCCTCTATTGCTTTATTCACGTGGTCTGGATCGTTGCAAGAGACACCAATCACAGTACCCACGGGGAGTAAAGTTTTTGCGATATGAACCGGCATGTCTGTTTGTCCCAGATGCACACCGTCGGCTTGGACGGCGAGCGCGATATCAATACGGTCATTGATGATGAGAGGAACCTTGTATTTTGCACAGAGGATCTTCGACTCTCGAGCGATTTCCAAGAACTGGAGCAAAGCATCTGAAAAAGCAATGAAGAAACAAACGACCACTTCTCACTTCTAGTGTGTCAGACTTCTTTTCTCGGATCTGAACAACGGTTACACCGCCTTGCAAGGCCTTGAAAAATTAGCATAAACAGAGGTGCCAATCAGCACATGTCGTTTATGCTCCCGAAGGAGAATGATTCCCAGACCTCTTCTAAGGATTCTAGATATTCCTGAAAATGAGGGAGCGGCTTTAATGATGTTTGAAATCATGGGTATCTCTGACCTTTCCTGGTGGCAGCAGCTCCCGGCCTGTGACCAAGTAAAGTGAAAAGTCAATTGTCATTATTTGACGATGGCGACAGTAGCTTAGAGTCCGAGTGTTTCAACTTGTTACAGAGCTGAGAGGTTAACGAGAGAATGATCTCCCGAGCCACGGCCCACGGCGGCGAACGGTATATATGTTCCTGATAACGGCACTGCCAAGAAAGGAAGGTGTGCTTACGCTCACAGTAATATGATTGTGGAGACTCCGTGAGCCCATACATATACTTTTTAGTATTTTACCTTGACCAGTGCACCACGTCCCGTGGAGACTTCCAAAAAGTACGGATTTGCGCTCGTAATGTACTGTCCCTAAGGTATGTACTTCAATACCTTAAAATAGCAGGCAATAGTCCTTTGCCACCCCACTAGCTGCCCAATATCATGATTTTCTGTCAGAAACCAGTGCTTCAGCTCACTTGGATTCTCCGGATTTTGTTAGCGCATGAAAACATGTGAATTTTCGCTTGCGCAACGTCAATATCAAGACGACATTATACCTATTCCCATCTGCTAGCTCCCCTGAAGTTGTACTTAAAGAGATGGGATGTACATTCGTCCAAGAACCCCTCACATCTCGATTCTACCACCTCGTAATGAATCCTGCTGCACTCTGGTGGACTTTTTCTAGTCTCGCAGTCACACTTGTGATTTTTCAACTGTTCACCGTGCCATCACACTTGCGCCATCTCCCTCGTGTGCCTATTTTCCTTCTTCTCGTTAGTTATTTATCAGGTGAGGTCGAGGATGTGCGCATCAAGCGCCTCGTTCTGCCATACGCAAACGAGAGAGGTGAAGGACTTGTTCTCGTGTGGGCGCTAGGTCGATGGATAGTTCACATTCTTGATCACAAGGTATGCACTTCGTGTTGTCACTAAGCTCTTATTTATTCTCTTCCAGCTTGCGGTTGAAATGTCAGAAAACCTCTTGTTATACCCGAAAGAGTTACCGCCCGATGGTCTCTTGTTATGGCGCTTCATCGGGGGTTCCAACATCCTCATGGCAAATGGTGACCGGTGGAAGAAACATTCTAGGGTCATCCATGATGCGTTCAATCTCTCCATCCCTGTCGACCAGTTCATATACCTATCCAAGAACCTCTTTGATGCCATTAACCCGCCCTCAGAGGAGAATGACACCCATACTGTCGACTTCGCCGAACTCGCGCAGCGTTTTGCCCTCGATGCAGTTGGGTCTTCAGTCCTTGGGCACGACTTTGATGCTATTCGCACCGAGTCCTTATTCGTCAAAGAGTACAATGGCATTATGCAAGATATTGCCAACCCTCTTTATTTGATTATGCCCTTCCTTGAGAAGGTTTTTCCTCGCAAGGAAGTCATCAAGCGCATGGACAACTTGGTCGACAAGTTTAAAATGCTCCTTCAAGCAAAACGCAATGACCCTGGAGATGACATGATGACCTTCATGCTAAAAGACCCTACGATGTCCGAAGAGGAGCTTCGTGATAATATGGTCGTCCTCTTCATAGCTGGCCATGTAAGTCAAACACGCTGCCTTTTGATAGCAGACATTAATTACAGCGCATATTTTAGGATACTTCTGCTGGAAGTCTCTCCACTCTGATTTACTTCCTTGCGATCCATCCAGAAATCCAAGCCGCCGCGCGCGAGGAAACTCTTCGTATCATTGGCCCTACTTCTGACCCCAGTGTCGATACCCTCTCCGCTGCGTCATTACCTTACCTCAACGCTTGCATCCGCGAAGCTCTTCGTATCAACACTCCGATCTCATATATCGTCCCTCGTGTCACTGCGGAAGATGCCACCCTCGGAAAGTACTACATTCCATCTAACATCTCACTTATATACAACATCTACGCCATCCACCACCGCAATGACGTCTGGGGTGACCCCAACACTTTCAGGCCAAACCGCTTCCTCGAGAAGAGCGAGAAGAGCTCGATTCTCAAGGATGCTTGGGTTGCTTTCGCCTCTGGACCTCGGCAGTGCCCTGCTCGTAACTTTGCGCTCTACGAGCAGCGTGCCCTAGCCGTAATGTTGCTGCGGGAGTATGAGTGGACATTACCAGCAGATTCGATTCATCAAGATGGTTTGAAGAACGCCTTCTCCCCTTTTGCTCTAACGCTCCCTCACGACCTTGATATCACTTTCACAAAACGCAAGTAGTAGAGGATGCTCTTCATGATAATCTATGTTATTAGTTGCGCAACATGTTACCCAAGGTATACCTACTTGTTTAAGATTAGGGATGACGTTTGATTATAACGACATAATTCGAATGTGATTTTATCAGTCCTTTAGTTTGTCGCTGTAATACTCTTTTCCGAGCAGCCATTTTGCACATACTAGCTATGCTTAAGGTTCATCGATTCATCAACTGCTAAGTCAACGGTATATACAGAAATAGGAGTTCAATATAAATATCGCCGAGACCCAGTATTCTAGCCGGGAATGATACGGGTGCTCAGGCATGGATAATGAGTGTCATTTAATAAACAGGGTGCTACATCCTTCCGCGTGCAGTCTGCGCATCAAACAATATGCCCACTCCTGCGTGCTTTAGCTTCCTTCCTTTTTCTCGCCCGTTCCTGTTCTTCAGAGAGAGAATCAACAGCTCTCCAGTCCCCCCACATGCCCGTCTTAAAGATGGCTCTGATATTCGGAACGAGCAGCAGAGCGACGGCCAGCCAGTCACTGAGCATATGGAATATATAGAACGTTCCCTTTTCTAAAAAAGTGTTACCCGAGCCCGGTGCTGTTGATGCAAGGGAGGTCGTGCGGTGATACATGAACGACAATCGGAAGATCGCAGAGGATGCCTATGCATTGAGGAAAACGTATTATTATGTAAACGAACAAAACAGAGAACACGGATCCTTACGTTGCAAGCGAGGATGGAAAGAAGTAGCATAACGTGAATCGGCTTCACTTTGGGCAGATGTCTGGCGCGAACGACCAGGGCTGCCACGAAAAGTATGAGGAAGAGAGCAATACCGGAGCTTAGGTATCTGGACAAAGATGTTTATGTAAGAAGGAGCTGTGCGGGTGAAGATCTAATGCACCTCGTGATCATCACCTCGTTGGCTGTGCTTGTACTATCCATTCCACCACGGTAATGCGCGTTACCAATTATGCCCGGGACAATAGCAGCGAGGAAGGCCAGCTTCAGCACATCGGTAAACCAGCGATAGAAAAACCTCTTTTTTGGGTCGTCGTGTATGTCATCCGAAAGACGAAGCGAAGCACTGTGAAATGGGGAAAGAGGATGCATAGAAGACGACATCGAAGGAGCGACAGGAGAATCTTGCGGGTCTGTAAAAGCTGCCGGACCCTTGGTAGAGTTCACATACATACAGCGCAGAAGAGCCACGACATCGATTGCCATGGAAATATATGGCAAAGCAATCGAAACTTGCATGTAAGTCGTCAATGCCAGGGATGTCCTTTCCGCTGGGTCGCGGGATTGCCAGGCTCGTAGGGAGAAGATTATGACTCTAGGGAGGCAACATGAGGCAACATGCGTTAAGACAGGAGGGAGCTGTTTTCACCTTTCTATGGTTGTAATGATTGCGTTGATGCTCACGACGACCCGCGAATGCTTGTTATATAGCCGGGAAACGAAGACGGGTACGAGTGAGAAATATAGTAAGGAGAAAACGATTGATGTCCCAAAGTCAGAAGACATTGGAACACCACCAACTGGCGACGGGAATGGATTGTCGCTTGACATCATCCATTGCAGACTCGGGCGACGGGACGAGCTTTGGAAAAAAGTAGAGGTTACAAACAGCCCGAAAAGAACGACGGCATAAATGACAGCCATTCTGAATCTACGCATTCAAGAGAAAAGGAATCCCATCCAGCTTGGATATACATATTTGAAGCTGCGCGGCATGTGGATGTCGCGAGTCTCAAAGGCCTGCTTCAACGAGGCCATTGAAATGCAGTGAACTAACACACCTGCCAAATTTGGGATGAAGCATCAGAAGGATTGGAAATTACGGCTCTCTCCGGACGGAGTTACACAAGGGTAGCTCGGAAAATCTCAACCACTGCGACGGTCAAAGTTTGGTCAACCGTCAGAGCTTGGTGCAAAAGCACTAGACATGGATGCCGTTGTACCAAATGGTATCGAGAGTAGTTGGGATGAACGATAGACTAGGCAGCGTTAAGTTCTTCTCAGAGTATTCAGCCAAGAATCTGACACTGGTCATCATACCCAGGATGGTGACTCGGACGGGGTACGGATACTGAGGCCTAGGATTCAATATTCAGGAGTCCCGTCTTATTTATACAGTCTTGTCTAATGCCTCTCCGGCCCCCATGCGGGAAGCTCGGATCTTCCCGATACTTCGATACCTCAGGTTAGTGGTTTTGCCTCAATGAGTCAATGTCATAGTACGACTGCCGTTTCTCACCTGATGTGGCACACGAACCCCTAGCTCAGTGGCATTCCCACAGCAATTCAACCCTCAAGGTCCCAAGACCGGCCCTCACGACAATGACATAGCTTGGCTTATTCCCTGCCCGTAACCTCAGCTGCTTGACCAGTAAACAGGTGTCGGGCAACTTTCTTTATGAATGACCGCTTTTACAAAGAATTTCAATGAAATAAAAAAAAAGGGAAGCCAGGCAGGCAAATGGATCCTGTTAGTGATGGTTCATATCCGCGGACATCCGTAAGTTGCGACTTTCATCCGACCTCCTGGTTACAATGAACGCTGAGACATTTCAACTTTGAAAATCATTTTCTTCTACCAGGTGCCACTTGCTTTAACTCCCTCGTCCGGACTTTCCGGCCTCTGAACAAGTGTCTTTGTCATTTTACTGATGCAAAATTTCTGGATTATGTTACTCTCGGCTCCGTGTAGCTATGAAAGGTGATGGTGGATCGCCCACCTATCTCGAGTAGGGAACGCACGGGTAAACACCGCGGTTCATGCTGACGGTTGGAGGGTGGTACGGAGTAGGATAGTCGTGAGCAACGGCATACACCCGGTTGACTGTTGGCATAAAATCCAATCGGAACAGGCGCGCGACAGCCATTAACACGTGTTTGATCCTCTGTTTTCTTCTTGAGAGCTGAGGATCACAGTTGCATATGATTTCTGTCCTTTGTACCCCGTGAAATGATTCCTGAGCATCCGGAGAGAATGGATTGACCGAGACTCGTTCGCGAAGAGTTATGATAAAACGTAGAAATGCGGATTACTGTTGAGCAGCCAGTCGTATGCAACATTATTTGACTGACACTGACACTATAAGCGAGATGGTGGTGACTACTCACTGGTTCCATGTCTTACTCTAGGGGTGGAGAGTTCTTCGATTACACTGAAACAAGGACCCATCGCATGGTGGCAAAAAACTGCCGTGCTTATCCATCAGGCATGACTACTCTTCCCATTCCTTCGATCCTTTCAATCAATCAATACTTATGATCTGCTCCACATCACTGCGGTGACGTGTCTTCTCGCAGGCCGCACCCTTATTTACTCGCAACGACCGCACAATGCGTTCTCTGCCTCGACGTGGGCAGAAGGATCTTCGGTGATGGAGGCTTTAGCGCGTCAGAAAAAAAGCAAATTCGAAGAATTGAAGGAAAGTTACTTTTTTTCAGTTGTTATACATAATTCTTGTATGTACCGCGGTGTCAGAATGTTTCAACCGGAATTGCGGTCGTTTGTTACCGTACCCGGAGGTACGTGTTGCGGGTGCGGGTTGTAACTTTCCACCCCGTGTTACCGTGCGGTACCCTAATCTCGAGGTGACGATGAATGTCTTGGACTGAAAGGCATGACTCAGACGAACCCTCTTCGCGCCTGTAAAATAACGATTCTCTAACTTGTCTGGTCTCGGCGACAGCGCGTGGTTACGTTCCTGGGCAGACGCAATATTGTTCAACTTCTCTTTGATTTTTGTCCACACACATGCAATTTCCTGACTCATGCGAAAAAATGGATTTGATAACTTTATCATCGTTCGAAATCGACTTGTTTTTTTGTTTTGAACTTCACCATCTTGTGATGCACTCTCTCGTACGATCATGACAACCAATCAGCGTATCATTTTCAACGAAATGCCCAATGGCTTGCCAAATCCTAAAACAAGTCTGATCGTCGACAATACACTATCTATTGATCTTGATAATGTACCACTTCAAGGAGGTATCCTCGTCAAGGCACTTGCCTTCAGTCTTGACCCCTATATGCGCAATCGCATGCGACCCGTTGATATTCCAGGAGACATCGATGCATTCCCCCTAGGCGAAACGTAAGCCAACTTAAACATATCAAAATGCAACAGATACTGATGGTTTCACAGAATTACTGGTTTCAGCGTTGGTGTGGTCTTGCGAAGTGAGACGCCCTTGATTCAAGCTGGACAACACGTATATGGATTCATGCGTGCGTGTACTGCTGGTAAGGCTGGCGGTACCTATTATTGATTATATTATTGTAGACTATCAACGCTACAGCGTCATCCCGTCAATAGACGCCAACGCGCTAGGGATGAAGGGCTTGAGCCTAAAAGTCCTTGACAACAAGTACAACCTCCCATGGCGATATTATGTTGGAATCCTTGGAATGAGTGGACAGACAGCATATTATGGACTCAAGGACATTAGCAACCCTAAGCCGGGTGAAACGCTCTACATATCTGCAGCGTGTGGTGCTGTAGGCCAGTATGTGTCATCCTACCCTCCGTTGTTGTTTTGTTTAGACATTTTGTAGTCTCGTGGTTCAGCTTGCCAAGGCCCAAGGGTTGAAAGTCATCGCATCTTGTGGTAGCGACCAGAAGGTCTCATTGGTGAAATCACTCGGGGCAGATCATGTCTTCAACTACAAAACTGCGGATACTGCTGCAGAGCTCAAGGCACATGGCCCGATTGACATTTACTTTGACCTTGTTGGTGGTCCGACCCTCGAAGCTGCCATAAATAATCTAGCCTGCAATGCCAGACTCGTTATCTGTGGGATGATCAGTCAATACAACTCGGCGACGAACGAGGCGTATGGTATTCGAGTGAGCACGTTTCCTCTTGGAGATTTTTAACCCCTAATAGCGAAAATAGAACCTGTGGTTATTGAATAGATACCGAGCGAAGTAAGCTGTTCTGATGAATGCACTCCTTGCCCACGTTTCTCAATTTTCATTCACAACGCAGGATGCAGGGTTTGGTCGTGATTGACTGGGCAGATAAGTATCTGGACGAATTCCACGATACTGTCCCACGGGATTTGGCTGCTGGAAAACTAAAATATCTGGAACATGTGTATCATGGTATGGACAGGGTCGGTGAGGCGCTTGTTGATTTACTGGTTGGAAATAATGTCGGAAAATCTGTGCTGGTTCTCGAAGATGATGCGTAGGAAGACGCTACACATGTGCACTGTAGATACTCTTGTAAGTTGTATACCTCATTGTGTAACAGCTGTATAAAATGATATGTGGAATTCACAAATCCCACACATGATCTATGTAACTTAAGTAGAGGCAACATCTCGATTACATTGACCATCGTTGGAGGGTAAACTACGATTCGGGGTATTATAAGTACACAATGGAATAAACATAACGGGTGAGTACATCCGAATGGTAAGTATCAAGCATGTTCACGTGAAATAAAAGATAACTTCGTCGAGCTTTCATCTCGGTTACTCACCCCCGGGATATTTCTTAGAAAGAATCCACCGCTTGTCAACTATCTCCTCCGAGTCGAGCGCTTGTCACGGTAGTGTCCAAATACTCCACAGGCTGCAGTGCAGGAGCCTATCAACAGCGCAACCAGCGCGCCAAGCGCAAGCCAGTTCGCATTTCCCCAATTCGCGTTGATGCCATTGCTTCTCAGGCGATCTCTGACGACACCGAATAAAGACATGCTAATGATCCATGCAAGCAAAGTGCACAGTGTCGCGAGTCCAGCGAGAAAAACTCATAAAGACGGTGCCCGCACGATGATATCCAGCGCCACACACTCCGAAGAGGAATGCAAGACCGGAAAGACCAGCGGCAATTGGGTAAAGTATGAGAACGGAGGTGAGATTGTGAAGAGTTGTTGTGTTGATGTCTCCGGGGAGGGGGAAGTAGTAACCAACATGAACCTGCGAGCCCGTATAACCGAATACACCAAAGGCATATTGGTTGGCATTAAGAAAGGATATGCTGTTCAACGTTGGTGATGATACAGAAACCTATTGATGATAAACACTATAAAAACGTGGCAACGATGATAAGATCAGACGGAACGTACCAGAATGAGGAGAATCATTGCCGAAAAGCAGAAAAAGAGACCAGGAAGCGCGGCTGATGCTGCCATTTTGATCGTCTAATGGAGGGAGGATGTATAGATATGTGTGAGGGGAAAGCGACCTTTATCTGCTTTCAAGTCCAGCCGCCCGAGGACTTGGCTGCGTACTGCGGGTCACAGGTGCCAAGCTCCGCACCTCTCCGCACATCCATGACGTCCACTATTGGATGATGTCATCCTCCATATCACAAAGCAATGCAACGTGATCAAAATTGCACAGCAATTGGAGGCAAAGCTGAGCTAGACTAGGGTTAGATATAGCGGCCACCAATATTCCTAGAATTCCGATCCCCAGCTCCACCTGACGATCGAATTTGACTTAGCAATTCAAATATTCAGGTGTTCACTATCAGTCACTGCATTGCGCAGCCGGTTCTATGCTTGGCTGTAACTGTTACTTTCCTCCTTTTATCTGTGTTACAGCCCATTTTTCGTTCTGCGTTCAATGCATTGGATGTCGATAACGTAGTGGACAGATTTTGATACTGTTGTTTCTTCGGCCAAGTATAATATACGTGTGCACTCTCCATATACATTGATATGCTTTTTTTTTGCCAGGGTCTAGTCGGTAGTCCTATGCTGTGTAGTCGGTCCTCGATGGACAGAGCCGCAGCCTCGCGCTATAGGGGCGGGTTTTCCCTTGCAGGCTGTGCGCGCAGCTGCAGTTGTGTTGTCAGTCAGGTGTCGTGCTTTTCGTTGCTGCGACGTACCTCGAACAAAATGTGACCAGCTCCCTTTGAACAATGTCCAACGTGAAACAAGAGCTGCCAGTGACATACCAAAGTCTGTAGAGCATTAGCCAGAACAAACACTCGGAAGGCATACAGCCTGGGAAGCAAGTATCAGAAATTGACTGTACACAATTGGTACACAGGGCGAACAGCTCCAACACTGGGTAGGCCTGAACCTTAACAGAAAAAGGAAATCAGTTCACGCGCCACGAAAATACAAGTGCCTGGACTGACAGAACCCTCCCACTTGTCACTTGTGGAGTCCTGCGTACGCCTTAATGTCATTGTCATTCAAGTATATAGCCTCACAGCCCCTCAAGGCCTCAGGCCTCAATCTCAAGCCCTTATTGTGCTTTGCCGCCCGGCGCGTCATAGACTACAAGCAGCAACCTGTAAAGTTTCCGATTTCTTTCATAAAGTCAAAGCCATTGTGATTATGTCTTTCTGTGTTGCCACAGCTCTGGACTGCGACCTGTCAGGGCTATTCGCGCATGATACTGTGAAGGCGTATTACAGTTCATATGCGAATTGCACTGTCAGAGTAAGTCTGAGGCGCAGATTTGACCATGAACAAGTAACAGGAGTAGCGGTCCTCGGCGGCGCCTCCGATTCTTGAAGCGAGCTAGAGTATCTCGACATTTCTAGAGATAAACAATATAGCATCATTCAGGGCTATGATCGACCCCCGAGTCTATCCTCCACACGTATCGGAGGCTAATCGTGTGCGTAATTCCGTTGGAATCAATATTTTCTTGACGATTTACATTACCTTCAGATTGCTTGAGATGCCAGCCCGAATGGACTCCATATATCTTTATCAATGTTGAGCAGCTTGGACTAAACTATAGTCGGTCGGGTGCAGTGCGCTTTAAAGGTACGCTTAAGCGGTCTTGTCAAGTGAGACAATTAAAGGAGGAAGCTAACCGTTCTTTTCAGCGTCTCTACACAAGTCATACCCTATTTCGGCGTCCCATGCATCCGAATCAGCGTGCTGATAGTCATTGCCGGTAATTTCTGAGCACAAGCTATGAGCTCTCGAGAAATAATGAGCAAGACGCGCGATGGATTTATTGGGCTGGTCTGTGGCAACTATGCCCGACAATTAGTCGGCTGTGGCATTTTCTGTCTTTGTGGTACAAATGGGGCGACATCAATGGCATTGATGTGATTCTAGGTGGGTAATCAAAACATTCGCTAGAGCATCCACACTTGTATCGTTTTCGGATGTTGAAGAATTGCTTTGTGGTTGTGGTCGTGGATGATGTGGTGTGTCCACAGTAGCGCAACCTATATATAATGAAATGCAGATTGCCCACTGCTAGACAGACCACTTCATATTCTTTGCAACTTTACATCTCCTTTCCCCCATATCAACCATGAATTCGTTCAAGAAAATCTTCCAAAAGTGAGTCGACCGTTTGCGTGCTCTAGTCATTGTCATTATAGTAATCAATACCCCTCAGATCCAACGATGACCAAACGCCCTCGCTTAAGCACTCTAAGTCAATGCCCTACCTCCTTTCCTCAGAGGGAGGGACGCGCGAGCCTCGTTCTTATTTTCCCAAACCCGTGTACCGTGGCAAGACCCCCCTTCAAAAATCTAACATCGTGTACATCGAGCAAGCTCCAGGGATGCTCGAGATCTATCACGGCAAGCTGTCGCAAAACACCTGTTACCATGGGCCGACTCGCACGACCTTTGACAAGCGCGAGGACTTGTTGGCCAAGTTTCCCCATTCCCCTGAACCAGTTGAGGGGCTCCCTCGCAGCGGTTTCAGAGCGATTTCTTTGAGCTCTCAGAGCACCAGGCCCCAAGTGCCTGTCCATAATTCGAGTACAAGTAGCCAGCAAGCTTACCCCTCCATTCCTCGCAGAAAGCAGAGGCATGAGGCCATCATTGACCAAGCTTCGGCAGATGTACTGCAGATCCCTGATGACCATATTCGCAGTGGCAGACTAGCAGAACGTATTCGCACCAAGTCGAGCACTACTCGCTCGTGCACCCCTGCACCCCCTGTTCCTACCACCCACTCTCCACGTCCAAAACTCTCGCGCTCTGCGCACAGCTCACGCGTAAACATTCATCGCGTTCCATCCCATGTTACCATGCCAGTCCCTGCTGCACCAGACCACGGTCATCCTCCCCGGCCTCACAGGGACTACCGTGAATTTTTGGAAGAGCGCGATCCGAACGTCATCCGTAGAATGATCAATCAATACCCTATAGCGCCTCTTTGCAGCGACCGTACCCCGGAGCACTTGCGCCCGATTCGTTTTGACATGGTCGATCCGCGCTACTTCCGGAAGACATTTAGGGAGTACGTAGAGATGGCTGTTGCTCAAGGTCGTCCCCTCGATGCACGCGTAGGTGGCGCTTACCGCCGCATCATTGACACGGTCGACTTGTTAGGTATCGTTCTGGAGACTGGTAGTGGTCGGTCTCGGCAGGTTGTTCATCGGTGATTTTGTGAAGACGGTGGTAGTTTGTGCAAAGAGTCTTGATACTGTCTTACTCATGTATGTCGTATATGTTCATATGCATATGATTTATGAAATTATATGCTATTTGAGGGAGCTTAACGCACATCAAATTGTGTACGCACTTCCACTCAGGCAGCGGTATTTAAGTGCAGACGATTTTATCACATCCGGCAGAAACCTCAAAGCATTCTTATCATTCACCACTACAAGCTTCTATCACCAGATACGCTTCACCATTGTAAATCGAGTCAACTCTTCAAGGGGTACCCGCTTCTTGTCACCACCACCGCCTTGTCCATTACCGCCACGCATGCGCCCCTCACCCATCTCACCTACTCGTACGGCGTCGTCTCTCCAATCATCCACCATCTTCTTGAGCTGCTTATTGTAATCGCGCTCCTCCTTGCCTTCCCCTATAGGATCTCGCCCAAAGTCGTTGATGGTGTCCGCAGCAGCGCGGGCCTCCATGCCTGCCCGGCGACGCGTCGCATATGAGATAAGATTCACACCGAGAAGAACTTTTAAAGCGAGAAAACTAGACAGAGGAGTAAGCTTTCGCGAAACTATGTCAACAGAAATCCTACCATAACCAAAACGCCACCCCCATCACGGCCCACTTGAGTAGATGTACGACTTCGGCACTCGACATATCCATGAGAGCATCCCAACCCCATTCATCTTCAAAACGAAGAGAAAAGACGAGAGTTAATGACTGAAGGCCGACTAGAATGACGACAACTGCAAGCGGAAGAGAGGCAAAGCCAAGTCGTCGGGCCACCAATGGTGATTGATCGACATAGCTATGCTGCATTCGGTCAATGGATGCAAATACGAGTCAAAGCTAAACGCTAGACCTTTCGAGCACCCAGGCGTCCTATAGCACTCCCACTAGCCAAATCACGACAAAGCACATCTGTGTATCGTTCATATACAGATGGCCGTATGTGATTAAACTTAGAGATGAATGCGTGTTTCAGCCAGTCCACGAGGATCTCAGATGCCATTACTGTCACAACGGGCTGATCGAGTTTCGTAAGCGGGTCTGGACGCGGCATCTCAATAACCTACGTAGGATATTGTCCATAGGACATTGTTGCCTATGAACCAGCCAAAGCTCATCGGAAGGACAAATCCACCCGTGAAATCGAACTCAGATCCACTCAGCTCGATTAAATTGCGGAATGCAACAATGAGGAGCATGAGTGAGAGTGTAAACCGTTCCACGATATCTGCGCATGTGATTTGAAAGAGGTTGTCCTTTTCAAATTTCTTGAAGACACTTCCTTTGATCTCGACGAACTGATTCGAGACGAGAAGAGTCAGGAGTGCGTGGTCATAGGAATTGACAGCCACATTAAGAGATAGAAGCTGGTAAATCATCACTAATGCGTGGCAAACTAAAGCGATGTTAATGACGCGATATAAAGGCCTATTGGCAGAGACCGACCAATGTAGAGAGTAGCTAGCCCGAAAAATACGAATGGACGAAGCGTGTTGGACGTAACCGGCACTCGACGAGAAAGTACCTCGAGTGTCGAGCGGGAAAATAGACAGTCAAGGATATCCTGCCCTATCGATGCGCACAAGCGGTCAGCAATCTGAGACGGAGAAAGTTTAGTTGTGTGGACCGGTTGAATCGATGTATAAACGGACGCACCTCTAATGCGTTGAATATTACGTATAATTTGATAGTGTCTTGTCCACGTATGGAGTGATAGATCTTACTGGCATCCGTGAGCGGGATCAACACCATGATAGAGACCACAAGTAGCATCATTCGAAGGATGTCAGCTTTCTGTGATGGTGGGAGAGGCAATTTGGAGACTTTGAAGAAATTCAGAAAAAATCGGATGATCGCCAGTGCAAACCTGATAGGTAGTATAGTAAAAGTATAGAGGAACGAGTCAAAACAAAGTATGAAGCCAAAGCCAATGATCTACGCCTCATGAGCACCATCATATCATTCACATGAATCTATGCGCACCTTTTCCATTGCCAGAGGAATACTCAGGAAATTGCTCACCCTCTCCCACTTCAACTCCTGGTGCGAGTCAAAGTCAGTCGCAAGGAGCTCTTCCCGTAGGTAGTCCCACAAAGAAAATAAAGGCTGGTCTTGCTGTGGCTCTTGACTCCGGGCTATTGGAGGCGGAGAGGCAGGCGGAGATGGCAGTATAGGAGTTGGAGGAAGTGATGCATATGTCAATGGATGGACTTCGAGTTCGGGTTCAAGCATTCTTTCACATTCAAGGTCGTGGTCACCGAGTGGTGTATGTCTCGTTTTCTCTTCTTTTACGTCTGAACTGCGAATAACATCATCATCAAAGTCGACGGATGAGGACCTTCTGCGGCGACCACGCGAAACTGGTGTGGAAAGTGGTGAAAACTGCGCATTCCATGTCGCACCAATAGATGTGGAAGAGAATCGCCTTCTGGAGCGTCGTGGGGAGGTAGCCATATATATGCAGCAGATGTTATTATAATTGTTTGAATTGGTATGAAGATTACGACCTGAAGTTCATCGTGACACGGTGAGGGTAATAAAGGTTCACAAACTATACATGGACATTATGTCATCGATTGTCACGATGGACTCGACTGTTTGAAATTTCTTGATATCGCACAAGCATGCAATGCACGCCATCTTTCATGCACGATGCTGCGTGCACAGAAGTAGTCTCTTCCATGGAGAGGAAATCTGGCGTGGACCGTCCTGAGACTCACGCCGATCAATCTCAGGATAAACCTGGTGCACACGGCGGTAAGTCTAGCAGATCCAAATCTATTTGACTATTTTCTGACACAGGTATCATAGTCCTTTCTATCCCTTCCGAACTCATACATCACATACTTAAACACCTGGGGAATACAGACCTGGTGAACACGGCAATCGTATGCCCCACTTTCCGGTTCATTTCCCAGCGCGTGATTTACAGGAACGTCCAACCTACCGAAGACATGATTATACCGTGTCTCAGATGTTTTGCATCGTACCCGCACCTTGCTTCTTGTGCTCGTACTCTGATCTTGGCTGATGCTACTCGACATTATGACGTATTCTCCAATTACTTCAACCTACTGCGCAGCGCATTGCTAAACGCGTCTTCGCTTACGGATCTTACAATACTCCTCGATGGCCCCTACGCAAGATATTTGCATGGATGTTCATTTCGACTTCGTTCTCTCACTACAACACTCGATTGGGACAGAGACTTCAGTCAAATTAATTGCAGAGCAGACGGAACTGCGCAATGCCATGTTTGGCGGAAAATTCGTGAATGACGTAGTTCTACCTAAGCGGCACTCTCACAAAGCTTACAAGGGTCTCTGCGTCCCCTTTGGTACTGGCTGCAGTGGTTCCGAATCGAAAAATCAAGGAAGTGGAACTCTGTTTGCTGCAGCACGCGCTTTTCAAAGACGACATCCTCAATACTGCATCGAATATCCTTTCCTATTCTACCGGCCCATTGACCGCACTGCAGGTCATTACCCGTCTAAGCGACACACCGAGTGCACTCGCAGCCTTGAAAGCGATAGCAAGGAATTTGCCCAAACTGAACTCGTTTGCCTTTTACTCAAGTGATGGAATAATCTCGCAGGTGCGCCGTCTTCTACCTACATGCAACATTTACTCAAAAAAACTACAGGAACTTCTCGAGGCCTTTCCCGAATTCCTCTCTTGTTTTGAGTGCCTCAAATCGCTGACACTGATGTCACGAAATAAAGTTGATGCACTCCATGACAAAGCTTTCACGGCTACCCTCGCGTCAAGGTGGCACACATCATGTCCATCTTTGCAAAGCGTCTCACTTGCGGGGTCTATATGGTTGCATAACACTCGGCATGGTTGGGTAACGTTGGCAGATCTTGAGCGTCTCCTGCGAGAACGTCAGGGGCTGCTTCTTTCCCGTCAGAAGCACTGGACAGAGGCGGACCCAAAAACGATTTCGGTGGAAGAGGTGAAGAACAACCTAGAAGAGGACAAGGAAGATGCAGAACAGGGAAACCAGATGGAGCAGCAGATGATCGTGCTTCGTGACAGTCTCCTCCAGTTTGGTGGCCCTTGATAGGCGAGATTTTATATTAGGCTACTTATACATTCTGACGGGGTATACTGTGAATGTAGAATAATATCGAGTTCAAGTGAGGCGCGCCCTTGATTGTGCTAAGTTGGACAATATGTAGTCATCTGCAATGTTGTCTCGTCCTTTTTCTGATCACTTTCGTACAGATCAAAGAGCACACGGGATGCCAACACACTGTGGATGACAAGTTGTGGCCTGTCATGATGCATTAGTTTTTTCATTAGACCATCCTAAACGAATTGCCACGCACACGTCCATCATCTCGTCATACGACACCTTCCCCACATTGATATTAGTAAAATTTGTTAAATGAGCAGATACACCATGCAACCTACCGGCACCACAGCTATAATCAATATATTGGCCACAGAAACAACTGAAAGAAGGGCTTCAGCATGGGGCATGTTAAATTGAACAAAAGGTCACCGCACAAATTATGGCAGTCATATATCGCACTGCGCCCTGGAAGATGGTTCTCACTAAATGACTATTGTGATATCTGTAGTCTTGATATTTCTTGAACACCGTCAAAGACATCAGTACTGTAGATGGGAATGAGGACTCGTGCTAAGGCGGGACGAAAACGAGATATCCTTACACAGTTCATAGGCTACAAGGAAGCCGTATTGAATGGCACTGCTGCGACTCGATTCAAAAGTGCAGTTGCTTGTGGGGGGATCTTAAAAAGCAAAGTTGTCATCTACAACAAAGAAAGAAAAATAAGGGAGACCCACCTGAAGGGTTTGCAGGCGCCGCCAGATCATCAACAACTTGTGTAATACTAACAGCGCATGCTAGGCAAATCTACATTGCAATATTAATAGACGATTAGTCTGAGCATGCAACCAGAAAAACGTACTGCTGCCAGGACCAGTAACACTGCCAAGAGCTTTTTGTTCTGTCTCCAGAACGCATATGTACGAATAATCAAAAGACCTATATAAGAAAATGATAGATTTCAGGCCCACTGGCAGAAGACATCACAGACATGAAGCGAACCTTCAGCAGCTACAATACTGATGATGTGAATTGCTGCAGTAAAAATCAGTGACAAGACGCTGACTGTTCGGAATATCAATCACCATTTGAAGCCTGGCTGAAGTGTAAGCACTGTATTCGATGTTCTCAGTTCATATAACAACCACATAAGCAAAACACACTAACGTTTTCGTTCGCTCGTGTAGCAATGGCACCTAGTCACTCGTTAATGTCACGTACCAGGAGATAGTACAGTAGCTGCTCACCATATGAAGTCATGCCAGCTGCTACAAAGGTCATGTAGCGTGAAATCACGAAAAGAACACGACTGGCATTCCAGCGCCTGTTCCATGTCCATTGAACCTTGCAACATTTGTCAAGAAATGTTCGAACTTTATGAAGAAATGCTCACCTCAGCTCCGAGCGTTAAGAAATAGTCGAAAATCTACGAAACATAAGAGAGGATATTGTCTATGGTTTGTAGACCTACCAAAACTCCTAGACCAGCCACTGCACATGCTCAAGATGAAAATAGTGTAAACCCCTGTATGAAATCCACGTACCATTGCAATACTAGAGTGGTTACAGTCAATAAACCTCATCTGGAAAATATGTTCAGAAATTTCTACCTTTGCTGTCTGAATTCCCGTATTGACTATAGGCGCAACCATTGCACGCTAGATAAGGCTTCTGGGCCAGAGCTCGTTCTTATACTACGCTCACATGATTTGAATTTGAATTCGACACTGTGCAAGATTAAAATAAACTGCACAGGTTGATTCAGTCAAAACCAAATCCCGTTTCGATCATCAGGAAAACCTTCCCATGATATCCGCATCATAAAACGTGTGCTACATTGATGTGAGACCACTAATATTAGATAGCGAGTCCAAGCCTCATCATCTCTGCATGATGCCGGCGGCATCATCATTGTCAACACACAGCAGTTTCGCAAAGTCGAATGCCCTCCCTTCTAGTACTTCTGTCCCGTTCGTATCTCAGTCCAAGGCAAATTCTCCGTACGTCATTCTTTCTCCATTACAAATGTCTTCTAGTCGAGCGAACTCAGCATCGATATTGTCAAGCGAGATAGATTTCTGGACCTTCAAGATCGTAGCTGAGGTCACTGGAGACTGTTGCGACTTGCGAGTGGTGGAACAAATGTGATACGAGTCTCGAGTTGCTTGGCAACTTCAGTATCAATGCCGGAAAGTCGTCAAGTTGGCTTGTTATCAGCGATGTTCCATCATGATCATGATGGCGACAGTAGTTGCGATTCTACAAATAGTATCTGTCGGACTTGGCAGAAGTAAGTAGTAGGATCCCCCTTTATGAACCTACCCCCGACAAGTGAATTAAGAGGACGGTATCCAGACTTAGACATTGTAGAGAGCCTGCAGTACATCTTGAGTTCTGCCACATTCTGCCCAGGAGGTTCTGCCATCTGCCTGGCAGTGCTAATTCCGCCGTGCTACATGGCAGAATAGCAGAGCTCTGCCCATAAGGGTGAATTTGAAATTCAGCATCTAATCACAGAAGAGCACTGGGCAATGTGTGGACAGATGTCGAAATTTCGGATACTATATGCGAGACACCCATATACTATGCAGGACAAGCTGTGAGCTGATTTGGGCATCATCTCGCCACTTTAGTGGCAATCGGGGTCGTGGCACAGCAGAAAACTGGCAGCTCAGTTATGCCACTCACTGCCACCAAATCATATCACATCGGCGTTGGTTTACGATACTTGCAACTCAGCTCGCCTGTGTAACAAAATATGATGAGTATCATCGATGATTCATGTTGTAGGTAGTCATGTGGATGCCCGAAAGCGTACGTGCTGCCATGTGTCCCAATTCAAACACAGTAGACAAATCGCGCAAACAGCGGACGTGGCAGCGGGTGGACGACTTACCCAAAGCAGACAAGACCAATGAACACTCCACTGTGATGGCCTGAGATACACACTCTCAGCGTCTGCAAGCGCGGGGATTAGCCTCCTGCGTGCGATAGACCAGGTCAGATCACAGTTATGGGAGCAAAGATCAAGGGAAGAGATGTACGCATCATAGCGCGACGAGCAGCCAAGTCTCGTGAATCGCTTCGCAGATGTAGTGTCCTTCACGGAAGGTGAACCCGCCACGCACATACAGAATTTTCGTCAGTTCTGCTCATTGGCTTGGACATTTGATCTTGCCACGTCGCCTGTGTTTCATATTCCATCAGACGGGTAGCTGTAGCCAATAACATTATCAGAAGATACAGCATGACAAAAATCGGAATAGTGGGAGTATAACAATATAACTCTGCCTGTCTTCTGTCGTCGAGGTAGTGTACCGTGACATCGCAACATTGAACATCGTGATGTTGCAGCTCATACCTTGATGATATAAGAACACACATGCGACATATGCCGTAACGGAGATTTCACAGTCGAGTTCCTCAGTTGAACGCGTGGACTCGTTCGTGATTGTGATATCATTTCCCTGTGCTAAGGAGTCGACTGATAGAGATATGATGGCTACGGGATTGCACGAGCCGATGAGGGAGGTGCCGAAATCTAGTGGCGCGACGGGCGTCAATGTCCTTTGAGACATGTATGGGTCTGTGGTCCCACCTGTGGTGGGAGCAGGAATAGGGCGACAATTTTGTTGTAACTCGCGGAGCCGAGAAGAGTTCATCGAGAACATTTATTTGAATTTGATGAAGAAGCTATGGAGGTTTGGATATGTTCTCAGTAGCGTGGGCCGAGAGCCCTGCAAAATGTTTAAATGTTTATTCGCATCGTCTGGACGACAGCGTTCAGCGCTAGCTGGCAAGATATATCTTGATGTCTAAGTATAGGCGGGAGAGAGTTGACACCAGGGATCGTCGATCGAACTTGAGTCAAGAACAGCCATTGTTAAGGTGCGTATGACGATTCAATGTTTGGCTTTGTTAGGAATGGAAGGGCGTAAGTAGTACTATGTATGTAGTACAGTACTAGGATCCAGAGTGCTGAAGCTAAAGTGCACTAGTGTTTTGAATTATAATATTGCTGATAAGAATTTGACATAGGAGTTGAGGACGGTAAATTCGAACGCAGGCGAAGCTACTGTAATTTACTTACAAGTTTCTACTTAATGCAAGGAGTTAACTTCACAGTTACTCTAAATTTAGCATGCACAGCAACCTCCTGCAACCGGACGAGCGCTGGGTCCCGGTCAGCACTCGTCCTAGAAGCGAACTGTATCACCCACCATCCAGCAAGCTTTCCATCCCATCTCCATCGCGCTTAGGGATCATTCACATCTTACTTCGACTTCAACAAATCCACACTTTGATTCAAATCTTAGTAGTACGTCGTCCCTCGAGATAAATATCGCCCAGATGAATTCTAATCACACCCAGCTAGTATTTTCAGTTGGCTCATTGCATCTCGCATATCACAACCTTCGTCAATGAGTGACAATCAATGTCAGTACTTCTATCTCTTATCCCTCGCATTCTCTTTCAAACTCTTTAACAGTTCTTGGAGGAGCTTGGAGGAGGCTGTCCGAAGTTGCCGTCAAGGGTGCTCAATATAACTCCATTGAACGTCGGCCCCACCCGAAGTGTTTGGAAGGGACCCGGGTGGATCTCCTCGAATACATCCACGGATGCCTGGACGACCCAGAGGAGAATCAACTCGTTTGGCTGCATGGCACTGCAGGCGTCGGAAAGTCTGCCGTTGCGTTTACAGTTGCTGAAAAAATGAGTGGTCTAAACGTGTTCAAAGAGACAGAATTCGAAAAGCGGCTAGCGGGAACATTCTTTTTCTCGCGCGAGCACACTAAACGCTGCACAGCTGGATATTTCTTTGCGACGCTTGTCTATCAGCTTGCCACCAATTTCCCCAGCATCCGGAATGACGTGAATAGAACTATTCGCGACAATCCCGCTCTACTAGACCCTGGCACGCCTCTCTCCGACCAGATGACGGCTCTCTTTCTCCAACCTCTCCGAAATCTTCAACTCAGATTGCGCGGGTGTCCACCTTTGACGTTTGTTATTGATGCCCTTGATGAATGTACATCCGAACCTGAGCTTACCGATCTCATTCTTTCCCTTGCACGGGCTCTTCGTGAGCCTGATATTCCCGTGACCCACATTCTACTCACAAGTCGCTTGGAAATCGCATATTCCGGAAAGCCTTTCAGAACGAAGAGGTGCGGCCGTTGTTGTGCGAAATACCCGGTGAAAACTTCTGGGAGGGCTGTTAGCTACCATCATCTCGCTCGACGGCGCCGGTGTTGACAATGACATCTATATTTTCTTGCAGCATTCCTTCGCAGAGCTGGCAAAGCGCCATACTGATTCCCCTCAGCCATCGAAGGATGATCTTGCGAAGCTGGCGAGTCGAGCGGGCAGACGTTTCATCGTGGCGTCCACGATGATGAAGTTCATTATCGATGATAAAGACGATAATCCCCGCGACCGGTTACAGCTGATGCTTAAGCTAACGAGCGAGTTGCTACCAGGAACGGAGGTGTATAGGTTTTACGATTGTATCCTCTCCACGTGTGCCGACCCCAAGCTGGCTTACATGCACTTGTCCATGGTCGCCGCCCTCGCAGACCCTCTTCCAATCTTGCAAATCTCGTCACTTCTTGGCCCTGGTTTGGGCAGGGATGTGCAGACAACTCTGATTCAGCTACGGTCTGTCATGGATATCCCTACAGACAGCACTCTCCCCGTGAATATCTATCACTCGTCCATTCGCGACTATGTTTCCGACCCCTCAAACTGCAGCCTCCCTCAAGTACACGAACACGATATGCCATCACCCCATTCCCTACTCGCTGATTCCTCTTTTCGCTTGATGAGGCAAAATATTCCAGAAAGCACGGCTCTCTTGGATGCACTCTCAGAACTGAAGAAGCAAAGCAAAGCTATGCAACCCGAGGACTCCCGTAGATTACAAGACTCATTATCCTTCCTCGTTCGACCACTGGAACCACTGTCAGTTCTCATCTGTATGCTATGGCTTCGGGGAGATCGCACTTCAGGGTTGCAATCCTGGCTAGGGACTCTAGACGGGCGTGCCTGGCTTCAGACTCAAGGAGGGGAAGACTGGCTGCTGCAGACGCAAGAAGGGGAGGACTGGCAGCACACTAAGAGCGGGCAAGATTGGCTGCAGACCCAGGAGCAAGACTGGGTGCAAATCCCGGGACAGCAAGTCTCTGCGCAGACCCGTGGAGAGCGAGCCTGGCTGCGGACCGTGAGTGGGAGGGATTGGTTGCAGACCACGCGCGGGCAAGCCTGGCTGCAGGACACGCGTGGGAAAGACTGGCTCCAGACCCAGGGAGGGCAAGACTGGCTCCAGACCCAGGGATGGCAAACCTGGCTCCAGACCCAGGGAGGGAAAGACTGGCTTCAGACACAGGGAGGGCAAGACTGGCTCCAGACCCCGGGCGTGCAAGACTGGCTCCCGACTCCAGCCGGGCGAGAGTGGCTGCGGGCCGCGTGTGAGAAAGGTTGGCTGCAGACCCAGAGAGGGATGCACTGGCTCCAGACTGAGGGAGGGCAAGACTGGCTCCGGACTGAGGGAGGGCAGGACTGGCTCCAAACTCAGGGAGGGCAAGACTGGCTCCAGATCCCTGGCGTACACGCCTGGTTGCAGATACAGCCTGAGAGTGGGAGACATTGGCTGCAG